TCCCTATTCTCAAACAATTCTTCTGCTGTTGTGATGTCCACACAGTCTAAGACCTCGGCACCCAGTTCCTTCAACACCTTCAAGACATCTTCAAATGCCTCCAGCCTAGCCTCGTAGGCCTCTTCAGAATCATCCATTTTCCACGCGAGTCGATCATTGTAGCATCCTCTCAAGACTCCGATCCTTTTTTTTGTCAGGAAATCCAGAGAAAGAGCCGAGGTATAGTCGGGCACTGATGGTAGTGATGATGTGAACGGATCAGTTTTATCACGCCCACTGATCGCTTGAAGGATTATCGCCGCATCCGACACTGTTCGACATATCGGGCCAACACTATCAAAATGTTTAGAGACCGGAATAACTGGCGGGAAGAAGGTCAAGTTGACAATTCTATACAGAATATGTGAACCCACCTCCACTTCTGGACGTCAACCCAACTGTTGGTTTAATGCCCACAACATTACAGAGGCTGCTAGGTCCAGAGATGCTACCATCTGTTTCCGTGGCAAGAGTACCAGCAGCAAGTCCGATAGCCGCAGCTACCGCACAACCAGAAGAAGACCCAGACGGATCCGCACCAAGATAATATGGGTTACTGCATTGCCCTCCTCTCGGTGACCATCCAGAGGGAATCTTTCCACGCCAGTGCGCCCACTCGGACTATATTTGGCAAGTTTTAAAAATTATGAGATACGACTCCACCCGAAGATATTAGAAATGTACGAACCATGTTTGCCTTGCCCAGGATGATCGCACCAGCTTTCCGGAGCTTCTGTGTTACCGTGGCATCGGTGGGCGGCAAACAACCCAAAAGAGCGAATGATCCGGCGGTGGTTTCTAAACGTTCTTCAAATCCTTCTGGAGATCGTGTTGCGATGTTGTCCTTGAGCAGAATGGGGATTCCATGGAGGAGGGGAAGTGTCTTCCCCTTGCTCTGTGCGATCCGCCGCTGCTCGTCCAGTAGCTTGGCCTGCTGGACAGCCGCTGCGTTGACCTCCAAGACCGCCTTGAGTCTGGGACCTCTGTCATTGACCTCGTTGATTCGATTGATATATGCCTTTTTATCGGATGGGTCACGGACGAGGTAGAAAGCGAGTCAGAGAGTTGCTTTGTCCGCTCATTCCGTCTCGTAATCTTACCTCGACGAGTTGCGCAGATGTGAATCGGCCGCTTCGAAGGCCGTCTTGCAGTTGGATTATCCCTGCGTCGTAGAGGTCTGGGATACCGTTGTTGGTGGTAGAGTCCATATCGTGGGTGAGTGAGTTTTGAAGAGAGG